TTTTGTGTTTGCCTTCGCTGGCTGACACTGTTAAGGTTGCCGGACAAGTGTTGCATACCAAATGCGTCACGAGCTCTGCTCTGCTCTGCTTTGCTCTGCTTTGCTTTGCTCTGGCCTGTCAGGCAGCTTCACCCAGACACCGCAGTGTTGTTGATGCAACTGCCACTTACCACACGTAGCATACCCTATACGGCCACTCTCCACCTCATTTGTTAGCTAGCCCCAGTTAACCCCATTTGCATGGCACGAATCTCCTGGCTTCTCTGCTGTTGTTGCTGCTTTTTCGCTTTGTTTTCTTATCTCGCACAAGGGGCTTTCATTGAGTGCTGCATACTTTTTGGCTGCACGCAGAACTTCTAATTAAGGCCAAATGCTGAACGCTCAGCTCGACAATAATAACTATCTTGCCATTGCACTATGGGTCAAAAGCCCGTTTTTTTGGAATTAATTAATAACTTTTGAACTAGTCAAGATAATTAAATTTGTTTTTTTGCATTTGACTTTCGTTCGCAACACTCAATTTTGGTGAAAAAATGGGTGTGGTACCGCCTCTCTTTTATATTATTAGCTGTCATAACTTTTTAGCTTTTTAAGATATTTACACCAAATTCACATATTAGATGTGTTATCATGTTTTAAAGATCCTGTAAAAAAATTATCAAAATCGGTTAACTATATCATATAGTTTTTGTATGTAGAAGTTGACAAAAAATTTTTTCAAGGAATAAAAGGTTATATTTTATGATTTTAAGCACAAATAACATTAAAATATATCGCTTTTATTGTTAATCATCGTATTCTTCATTATCTGAAGCTAGCATGCCATACACCTCAAAATTTTAAAAGTCCTGCCTTTCGGAAATGCCTTTTTCCTCTTCCTCGTCTGCGACGAGGTTAGTTGCTGAAAAATTAAATTGCTCAAAAAGTGCGCAAAAGTGCATGTTGAACTTATAGGTGTCAGTTCAGAATTGAATACTCTATAAAATGTGCGTAGTTTCATTGCTACAAAGTGCTACAAACGCAAGTTTTCTCTTATCAAAGACAAAAAATTTTTGTTTTAATGATGTCAAAGACAGCTTTTTGACTTACATAAAACTTCACATCACATACAGATTTTGGACAACACAAACACGTAAACATAAAGAACAAGCCCAATTCCGTATTTTCCACCAAAAATTTTAAATTAATTGTCATTATTTTGATTTCAATTGGCGATTGAAATTCATAGAAAGTTTTTTACAAAATGATAATGTGCGTGTCATGCATAACAGCTCTGTTTAACAGCAGTTTAGTTAGCAGATCGCGCCTCTGTTAAAATTCTAAGTATGTAACATTTGCATATAGGGTATTCTTAATGGAGTGGCATTAAAATTTTGTAAATTTTTTCAACTTGAAAATAGGACTTTTTTCCAAAAAATCGGGCTTTTGACCCATAGTGCATTGTTATCAATGTCTCACCTTAGCTTTCAATTCAGCGAGGGGAGAGGAGAGAGGAAGAGATGGGGAGGCTATGTGGCAGCTTATGCATTAGCTACACTTGCCACAAAATTACTTTTAACACTCACGCACACACAAAAAATTCATAAAACAAAACGAAGAAGAGATTGTATACACACACACACACACACACACACACACACTCATAAAACACAAATGGAGCAGGAAGAGAATCGTGCACTTATATTGAATTTTAAGCTGTTAGCGATAAAGGCGGCTGGCTGACTCCCTGGCTGACTGGCTTTGAGCCACCGCCCGTTGCCCATAGACCGGCTGGGTGGCCTGCTGGCGCCCGCTCACATCACAGCATCTCCAGCTTGGCTTGTGTTTATTTGCCAACATGTGGCAAAATTATTTCCGCTCAAAAATCCACTTCCTGCATTCCATTTTATGTGCCACCGCTGCTGCCGCAATCGCTCGCGCTCGTTTCACCATTTTTATTTTTATTTTGTGTTTTAAGTAAATTGGAAATAAAATGAAGCAGTGCGCTCAAAATAAATCACGGATTGCCAGTTTTCCTACAGCTCTCAGCACAGTTGATGTCGCTGCCGCTGACAATGAAGCCCCATTGCAAAAAATGCAAAAAAAAAAAAAGAGCAAAAACCGAAGCGAACACCAAAAAAAAAAAAAAAAAAAAAAAAAAAGGCTCCTGCTTCTGTCACATTGTCAGAATTGAATTAAGTTTCGCTTTGAAATTTTTCATTTACTAAAGCACACACACACCTATCCCCACGCACACCTGTTGATGAGGCATACCGGCAAAAACAACAAGAAAAGGGAACCAAATTGATAAAAAAAAAAAAAAAAAAAAAAGCCAGGTGAAACGCGAGCCACGTTCGCAGCTTAGCTCATGACCGTAGCACCTTATCAACCCATAGCCCCTGACCCCTTGCCACCACCCACCACACCCACCTCTCTGCATTATACATGCGGTGGCTGTCCACAGTCGCGTTGCTTAGTTTTGCTTGCGCACATCACCTGCAATTAAAATGTGAAATCTGAGAATTCCTAAATTGTATTTACATTTCATGCTGTGAACAGGTCAGTGTAACGGTGCGTCGGTGTCTATGTGTGAGTGTGTGTGGGTGTGTGTGGGTGTGTGTGGGTGTGTGGCTGTTGCATTATTAAGTTCTACTTGGTCCAACCACCAACAGTCAAGCATAGCGAACAGCGAACAGCTGGAATGCCTGTGGCTACACAATGCCAACAAGCTGTTCCCAAAGGGGAGCTGTTCCCAGCATTAGCCAACTGTTCCCAGTATTTGCTCTCTTACGCGCGCTCTTAACGCCAGTTAAGCAAGGCACTGCGAGACAAAACTGTACCCAAGCACATATGAGTACACTACAAGTGAAATCACTAGGCATTGAGTTTGTGAATATTATTGTAAAAAATAAAATGATATTAAGTTTAATACTTAAATAAAGAATGTACATATAAAATGAAATTTCATATATGAATATATATATATATATATATATATATATATATATATATATATATATATACATATATATATATATATTTTTTTATATATATATCAGTATATATATTTATTATATACTCTCTATTGCAATCCACTTTCTACTCAGTTAGGTGACTTGCTATGTCGACGAGGCAGCACAGTTAAGTACAGTTTCCCCTCTGGGAACACTTGGGTATGCCTATACTCCTCCAACATTAAGTCGATCTGAATAATGCACATTGTGCAATGGGTGTGTAGAGGGTATACAAATATACAACTAAAGCAACTCAGCGATTGATTTCGGCTTATCGAATGTGATTTTCTGCGAAAAAAACCGTTTTTTGTTTGCGATAACGAAAGCAAGCGCCAGCTCATGCATTGTGTTTACTCAGAGTGTGATAGCACTCGATAGAAATGATATTACGTATGTCTTTTTAAAGTATATATTCATATAAATTATTGACATGATATTAATGAATGTACATAAGCCCATTCATGTTGCTTATATATTGTTAGAGTAATTATAGTTCGGGACTCCCCTCGCTTCTTTAGCTCTTATCTATCTATTTGACAAAACACTAAAATTACAATGCAAAGCAATGCGTAATTGACTTTGCTCTATTTTTTTTTTTTTTTTTTTTATTATTATGTGTTATAACAAAGGTCTGTAATCACAGCTAGTCGTCATTTGATTTAAAGAGGACACTCAGCAAATATGTGAATGGGCTTTTGCCACTGTAATTAAGTACTTACCGATAAGTTCTAATACAAATGAAATATGAATTTTAATTGGATGTGAGATACTTATTACTAATACTAATAAGACATTACACAATTTAAAGCAATTATTATGCTCTTCCACTTAAGTGAAATGAGCGTATTGGCTTTATGCCGGGTAACCCGTCCGCAACCCATTTCGACAATGGCACATTAAAAAATTAATTTTTCAGTATCTCAGAAGCTATTTAAGGTAAACTGAGTTACTGGGGATGTCGTCTAAAGACATCCTCCGACAACGTTTGTGCTGTGAACGAGCATTCTGCAGTCGGTAACCCCCGATTGTAACGTTTTCCTTATTTCCGTCTCGAAACTCAGAAGCTTGTAATATATTCTTAAGATGAGCAGACCCTGTTTTTCCTAAATGTGAACTCAAAAAAACAATTTTATAAAATGGAACTTAAGTTAGCAGTAAATACTAAGCATAAATTTAGATCTGAAAAACTGCATTAATTTTTCTTTTTAAAATTTGTAAGATTCCTCAAATATCTTAAATAAATAAGAAATTGTAGAAATTGAAAATGTTCGATTCTCAAAACTTAAACGATTCTCTCTGCCTAAATCACTCTATTTCATAAATATTCCATATTTAAATTTTGTGTTTTTAAAATGAAATGAAATAATTCTTTAATGTGGCATACTATATAAAAGTATGGTCAAAGCTTGAAATACTTTGGGTTGGCAATTGCAGAATGCAAATTGCGTGATTAAGTGGATTATTTTGGAGCTTAATAAGCATAAAACTATTCTAGATAAATAATTGCCTATTCAGCCTGGGGCTCAGCAAAAACTGAAAATTGATTTATAATTTGTTGTGAAAAATATGTATAAAGATATACATACATATATACATATACATTATGCCCATTAATATAAACCCATTTCCCAAATGAAACTAAATTATTTGCTTTGTTTTATTTATAATATTTATTTTGATAAACATTAGATTATAATTGCAAAACAATAATACGATATATATATATATATATATATATATATATATATATAGATAAATAGGTTTTTTTTTAATACATTTTCATTTCATATTATTATTATTATTTTTTTTTATTTTTTATTTTTTTTTATATAATTATATATAGGTATACATATTGTTTTTAAATATAATTTTTTCGTTTTATTGAAGATATATATATATTGTTAATATACGCGTAATGTGTGAAAAATAAGGTCGTAATGCGGCAGCTTTTCAGTAGATATCGTTGGGAATCAGTGGAGTCGGAGGCAGTGCGTCAGGCCAATCCTTTCATTGCTTGTCATTGCCCTTGTTCTTACCCTTGCCCTTGCCCTTTCCTTTACCCTTTCCCTTGCTTTTTCCCTTGCTTCTGCCCTTTCCCTTGCCCTTGCCCTTGTCGTTGCAGTGCTTGCCGTGCTTCTTGGACTTCTCATGGCACGGCGAGTCTGAACGGAAAAGCTGTTCGAGGTCAATAAGCTCGAGGTCGAATTCTTTCCGATGTGGTCCTTGATGAGGACCGCGACGGTGGCCGTATCCTTGACGGCAACGTTTCTGCTTCTTCTCACTAGCAGAGCTAGAGCTAGAGCTAGAGCTAGAGCTGGAACTGGAACTGGAACTGGAACTGGAGCTGGAGCTGGAACTGGAACTAGAGCTGGAGCTCGAGCTGGAGCGACTCACTCGACGCTCATGGTGACCACCCTTGCGGCCATCTCCGTGTCCGTGTCCGTGTCCCTGACGGCGCTTGCCCCGTTTGTCTGCCCTGCTCTGTCGGGCACCCGATTTGTCAGGTGAAACGGAGCGCGAGCTAGATCTCGATCGGCTCCTCGGCCAAGCCGTGCTCGCATCCAAGGCCCACGGCAGGCTGCTGCTGCCCTGAAAAAACTGCTTTTCCATTATTGGCCAAGGGTAGCTACCGAAGCCACCGCCTCGGGCCATTAAATTGTGCGGTCCAGAGCGGTACGGTCCAAAGTGATGGGGACCGTGATGGGGTCCGTGATGAGGTCCGTGATGGGGACCGCGGTGCGGACCATGACCATGACGCGGACCATGGCCGTTCCTATGGCCATGGTGGCCATGCTTGCGCCAGTGCGATGGCGACCTGGAACTCTCGTGTCGTCCATGATGACGATGGCCGTGTCGTCCAAGCCAGCCAGGGAGTCCGTAGCCAAAGACCTGCTCCGAGCTGGAGCTCGAGCTGCTCGATGAGCTGGAGGAGCTCGAGGAGCTCGAGGAGCTCGAGGAGCTCGAAGAGCTCGAGGATGTGGAGCTGACACTGTTGCTGCGGTCGCGTTTCTCTTCGTTCGCATCCTGGCTCTGGTTCGGCTGCTCCTTCTGCTGCTGCTTGGCTTGCTGCTTGGCTTGCTTCTTCTGCTGCTTCTTCTCGTGCTTCTTGGCCCGCTTGGACTGACGCCTTTCATCCTTAGCCAGCTGCTTCATGACCGTCTGCATGCATCGCGCCTTATACTGCGCTTCGGCCAGCTGTTCCATGGCCTCAAATAGCATGCTCTGCGCCTTGTGCGCCTTCTTCAGAGCCTTCTTGATGAGCTTGTTACTCTTGGGCAGTACGGGCCGCTGCGTGGATTCCGGCTGCTCCTCCTCGACCTCAATGTCACAATCGAGGACCTCCGCCTGAGCGTCCAGCTGCTGCTCATTGTGTTTAGCTGCCTCAGCCATGTTGGGCAAATATGCTCTGCTTATCCTTGTTGATGTGCTTTAATTGCAATAACAATAGCTCCACTCTCTTGTGTTGTCTTCCTAGCTCTATCTATTGTTCTCTCTCTCTCTCTCTATCTCTCTCTCTCTTGCTATCGCTCTTTGAGTGACCCACAAAGCTCCAAGCTTCTAACTGATGTTGAACGCTTTCCGGCAGGCATCTTTTATACGCGTCGCTAAACGTTTGTAAACGTTTAATGCTGGCAACAACGCCGGCCGCAAAGAGAGAGAGAGAGAGAGAGCAAGATAATGAGCGAGAGCGAGCTAAAGATAATGATAAACAGAGAGAGCGAGAGAGGGCGCGCGCTTGACTGAGCTGTGGAGTCGCAGCCAAATCGTGAGAGCTTGGGCTTATAAAAATAGCCCGTTTTGATATGAACAACTACATACACACAGACACACAGACAAATGCATACATAACTTTAAAAAATATATACATAAATACATATATATAAATATATATTCCCATATATAATTACATACACCTTTCATGCTATAGACTTTGGGTTTCACAAAATGGTGAAATATGCTAGTGAAACTCTCTAGCAACGTCATGAATCAGCAAACGAAACTTGTCGTTTGCCTTTCTGATAGACATTCTACTTTAAGCCCTCTTAGTTCTGGATGGTTCTATAGCCATAACCCCATAGTTGCTTAGTTCTAATTGGATGATCTCTCTGTTAATAATGTAATACCCTGTTCGATGTAATGCTCCACAGTTCCATATGCGAAACGGTTCATACACTAATTGAACTGGTTCATGTTCATGTTCATGTTCATCATGCATATTGACTGCTGATCAACTTAATGCTCCACAGCCACAATATATTGTGCATTGGGCTATTCATGCATTAGTCAATTGGTCAATATATTGATGGTATTGTATTGCTGAAACTGGGTTGAACAATTGAGGTTATGTTAAACACTTATGAGGTTAGGTCGAAGTACTGAGTCTAAGTTGAGCATGTTACTCTTTTGAGCATGTTATTTATTATATATGCACTTAAGTTGATCAGTCCCAAGCAATATTTTAGTTATTTACTTCATTTCATAAACATTTTTGAAACATTTCTGAGAAGCATTTCAAAAGTTTCACATAGACTCTGCAACGCTTATTCAATTTAGTTCTTGCACTTTAATAAACTTCTTAAAACTAAAATTATTAACATATGTCTGAGTCAGCTTTATTTTGAGGTTATAAAAACAAAAGTTGAAAAAAAAAAAACAGAAAAAAAAATAATAATAATAATAAACGATAACACTAAGTCCTTTCTAGCTATGGCATTCAGGGCAGATTGAAGATCCTTCACTTGATCGCATATTTTTATGTATATATGTATACATATTTATATATTTTAATTAGATCACTTCACAATTCGGATCAAGTGGAGCATAATTTTAAACACAACTAGATATACGTTTACTACAGGTATATCTCAATGCTTTTCGCTTGTCTTTACTTATTGTGTTTCATTCATAGCACAGTTATGTACATATACAATAGTGGAGACATATCAAGACTCTTCAGTACTTTGGGTCCACTGAATTGTAGAGACAACAGCTTGGGCACACTGTAGATAAGAGACTGAATAGCACAATCTTGCAAGATAGATTTATTGCAACTCAGACAACTATATACACACCCATACATATATATATATAATTGATGAATCACATAGATATGTGAATCAGGGGCTCAGTTTCAGACACTCATGCATAGATCAATGCATCTACTATAAATATACTATAATAACATATAGATATACTATATATTATGATATAGTACGTTCTATGCAACCACTGCGCACTAGTTGTTATAATTTCATCACAACATGCACAACGAAAACAAAAAAAGCAGACAGTCCAAATCGAACTGAACAATGTTTCACAAACGTTTGCTTCGGTTCAGCTGGCGTCACTTAATGAAATCCCCCTGAAGCGGGCAGAGGCCCCAAAGTCCCATAAGCTGACGGCGTCAGAGCGCTAGCGACACGAGCGAGAGCAAATGGTGAGAGACAGAGAGTGGGAGAGTGGGAGAGAGCCACAAAAAGATTAACTCGCAAAATGTTCAAAGAGCTTTGAGCATACTAGATAGTAAACAACTGCCTACAGTAGTGGCCATAAGAGTCGAGCCAGCTCTTATGTTAAGCGTATTGCGCATTATAATACTTTCTTGAATCAAATGTGAAGTCTTGTTTTGTGAATGGCAAAAAAAAAAAAAAAAAAAAAGCTTAAAATATATACTTAGTAAAGAAAAACATGATATATTTTTATGCAATAAATTTCGACCTATATTAATAATTATAGAATAAATAAATAAAGGAGTTAAATATATTAAATTTTTTTAATTGTTTTATATATATATATATATATATATATATATATATATATATATATTTTTTTTTTTTTTTTTTTTTTTTCAAACTAAAGCTTTTATAAAAATCATATATGTATTTAAAATCATATATGTATTTTTATTTTAAATATATTATAATAATATATTTTAAATAGACGACAATATATTTTTACATTTTTATTTAATTTTTTTAAATTAAAATAATTTTTTTTATGGATTGGAATGTCTGCAATTACTTTTTTTTTTTTTTTTTTTATTAGACCTACAAAATATATAATTTATTATTATAATTAAAAAAAAAATACAACAAACTTTTTTATTTTAGTTGTATTAATCAAAATAATTTTATATTATAGTATGGAAAGTCTACATTTAATTTTTTTTTATTAACCAAAAATACAAAATATAATATATTTTCTATAATATATAATTTCTATAGCTTTTATAATATTAAAAAAATTTCGTTTACACAAAGAATTGTCTATAAATATTTTATTAAATATTTACCATACAAAAATATAAGAAAAATTACAATGCTTAATAGTTTTGTTGTTATACATATAAATAAAAATAATTTGCAATTAATTTTTAAAAACTCTTGGATCACATTTCGTATACACTCATATGTAACAATTCATAATTCCCTTGAAGCTAGCTGCTTATTTCGCACGCTACTGTAATTTGAGGCACATGCCCATTCCTGCAAGCGTGTGCAGAGAGTGACTCTGTGTGGGAGCAATTGGATGAGTTATATGCCGCATATGAGCTTCAGATTGGGCAGGTTCTGGCTGTTGCGGCAAAAGCGTTGCCAGCCATTCCAATGGCGAAATCCGTCGGAAGCCAGAATACGTTTCGCGCAGGCAGCGGACTCACGCAGATTCTCGTCGAGCAGGTCTTGAATGAAGTCAGAGCATTAATAGGGGCATGAGTAATAGGACGTGCTAAGCCCGGCTCACCTTCACACTTGACATTGCAAACGCCGCCACGTCGACTCTCCTGGCAGTAGCGTTCATTGATCTGGAAGAGGCCGTAGTTGCGCGACCCATTCGGATTCGTTGTCAGCTTGGCTGTGTCCAAGTCGCTCTCATGCTCCAGCAGACATATCCCTGAAAGTGCGGAAGTTAAGTCTCTCCCCCTCTCTCTCTCTCTCTCTCTCTCTCTGTCTCTCTTTCTGTCACTCACAATTGCTGAGCAGGCTGCGCTCGAAGCTGTGCTGCTCCAGCAGCTTCCTGGCCAGCTCGCAGCGCATATAGCGCTTGCCCAGCACCTGAGCTCCCAAACTGAGCCACAAGCCCACGTAGAACAGTGCAAGCACTGCCGATCTCATATTGCGACTGCCAACCAGCTGTGCTCCACCTTGAACGTGATCTCCAGGCCCAGCTGCTGCTGCCTCTCTCTCGGCCTCTGCTGCTGCTGTTGACAAACGATTGCTGATAAGTCGCATTTTGCGTTGTGCCGAATGCGATTCGAATAGATCTAATTACTGGCGGGTCTAATGGGTTCGCTGTTGGCAGCAACAGTTGCCGGGCTATTCCCATGAAATTTCAGCTCTCTAGAATTGACCTTTACCTGATGAAGACCTCATATATTATAATGCAGCATTTTCCTTTATTAAATCTTACGCGAGAGTTGCAATAGAGTTGAGCTCTCATTAAAAAGCAAGTATCATGTAATACCGTGTATATACGGCACAGGGCATATTGCCAGCAAGACGCGAAACTTCAGTAAATAGCCAATTCACCCATCTTTTAGACTACAGTTAACTCTAATTCTGTATGTTTATATATTTGAAAAGAAAGAGGTTTCAGTTAGAAATCGATTTTTAGACTTTCATCTTGGCGGGTAGAAAGAGTTAAAGATATTTTAAAAATTTATGAATCATATTTAGCTCAGTTAATATTTCAATAAAAATGTATCCTAATAAAAAATCTAACAATCTTGCGAAAAGTATTCTAATGGAAAACAAATTTTATAATATTCCTTCAAGATCTAAATTTGAAAAGCCTAAATTTAAAAGATAACAGCTCTAATATAATCAATCTTAATAAGTTGCGATTCTGTGGCTTTTTGATAGCTTTTCACCTCAGTTCAGGCAACAAAGTTAGTTCTTAACGACAGATAGGCACTCAACGAAAGTATAGACATAAACCACTGGAAAGCGCATAGCTGAGACATACACCAGGATAAAGCGTGCAGCTAAGACACAAACCGCTCTGTATGTATGTATGTAATCAGCAAAAGTAACGACTGATCGATACACTATAACGGGCGGACAGTTTAATAGCTGCAAAAACCGCAATTGATGTGTTAAAAAATAATTTTTGAAGCATTATATAAATTGAATCTGATGTCCGATTATAGCTGATAATAATTAAAGCAGAAATCTGCTCCCGTTGTACATACCTCAACAAATATTTCAAATTCTAGAAGCCAATATACTCGTAATTATGTTGGAACAGGGTATATTTTTAAGAGAGTGGAAACTATTCTCAACTCAAATTCATCGGTGAAGTTAAGCTCGACGATTGAAGAAATAATTAATTACGCATGAAATATGATAAAATGTTGAAAATATCTTCACTCAAATTAAACTTCTGAGAGTTTTCCATTGCTTGCATGAAAATTGTCTTTTAACTAAAGCTACAAATAGTTTTAAATTTGAAAAAAAAAAAAATAGTTCTGCTTTCAAAAAAATTTAAATTTCTTATTGGCTTTAATTAAATAATAATACAATATTACAATATCTTTACTCATATTTAGATATAAATAAGTAGTAAAGTAAAAAAAAAATTATTTTTTTTACATTTTTCTATATTATAACTAAAAAATGTAAAAATAAAAATAATAATAATAATTGAGAAAACAAAAAGGATTTTTTTTTTTAAATACTGAGTTCATAGCTGAGATATTTTCATACTCCTTTGAAAAACTGAATTTGGGCAATGGGTCTGTATATAAGATTTGACACATGAAAAAAAAAAAAAAAAAATCTCAGTTAATTGCATGCTACATATAAACATATACGTATACATATACATACATATATATGTATTGTAAATTGAGTGTGATGAAATGTAAAATACTTAAGCTCATAATGTTTCGATTGCATTTTTGCATACTTCAGTTTTTTATTTCTCTTATCTTCAATAGTATTATAGATAGGGCATCACAAACTGTACGCACAGTTTTCAGATTGCAAAAAGCAAACATTTAAGTTAAGCTGGATATTTCAAAAGTGAATGTGAGATAGAAAATTCGTTATTTTTGAAATAGAATCTATGCATAGGGTGTTACGATCACAGGATGCTGTGAGTGAATTTGTTATTGTTGATGAATACATATAATTGTATAACATAAATACAATAAACATATGTAATTGTTATCAAATTTATTAACTACTTAGACTAATTTTTGTGTAGATAATTAGTCCCGATAATTCGAAATTACACAGAATTCCAAATTATCGAGAACGAATTTTGTTCAAGGGGATAGATTTTTTTTGTCGAACTATCGCGATTTTTTAGCGATTGTTATTTTAAATGCTGTTTTTTTTTCACAAATTTAAAAATATTTTGCTTACAAATTTAAAAATGATATTTGTATATATTATATTACATTTTTTATATTTTTATTTAATCATACAAATCATTGGTTTTATATGCACATTTTTTATTAGACTATATATTTTTTATTGAGTAGGATTTTTACTTGAATAAATAAATTCAGATACTCCGATTTCGAGTGAGCTTGACTTTAACCGATATTTTTCGAACGAACAGATTTTGAGAATGTGTTCCGCTCTGTGTGCTTATAAACATACATACAATTTTTCGAACTCGAATTTACTGCGACATACAGATATTTTATTGATTAAAGGGGTGATAGAAAGTTTCGTGATATCTCCTACAATACCTAAAAATTTTTACGATATTTATTATTTTTTTTGATAAATAATTTTTTAACTTTGTTTAGCATAGTCTCTAGCATGCCCAAACGTTGTAGTAAAGTGGGAATAAAAATAAACTAGACTAATTGTATTCTCAAAATGTGACTATAATAATCTTTCAGATATGATATAAAACTCGATTTAGAGCAACAATGGGATTGCTGAAACTTATTTCAGATTATTCTACTGCAGTTCAAGCAAAGCAATTTGACAAGCAATTCATACTTATTTCAATCAAATATGTTCGGTAATACATTTCAAAAATATTGCTTAAGAACTGCTATCACTAGGCACGAACTAGTTCGCTTGATAACGCAGCTGGTTCCAGTGCAAGTCGAGCTTTTCATTCAGCAACCCTCAAAGCATATATGGAGCACCTGCTGCTGCTGCTTTGAGCAACACACACACACACACACACACACACACAAAACACATATGCATGCAGGCACACACTCACACACACACATATACACACACCTACACACCCTTACGAATTTCCATCCCCTGTGGCAAGTGCAAGAAGCAACGTTTCGCACTTAATATCGATTCGAATGGGCAGGCGCATGCGCCATCTGCCGTAAGCTATGGCTCGAGGTCGAAGTACCGAGTCCGCGAACCGAGAACCATGAACCGGGAACCGACTCCGGCAAAGCCAACGAGTTATCCGTCCAGCCAGCGCCAGTTGCAGTCGTTTGTGAGCGTTCGCAGCGCTAGGTACTCAGCAAGTTTCCTGGTGCATTCGAAGCATAACTGTGACTGAGCAGCACAAGGTTGTCAACCTGCTTCACACACACACACACACACATACACACATATATACCAAAACAGAGAGAGAGAGAGAGAGCAGGACAGAGAGAAAGAAAGAGAGAGAGCACGTAAGGAAGGCAGCTAAAGGACTTGAGCGAGTGCCAGTTACAAAATTCTACAACACAGGAGACAGAGAAAGAGAAAGAGAGCGACAGTGACAGAGAGAGAGAGAGTGACCAAGTGAGCGAGAGTGAAATACTAAACTTTTTTTTGTTTTTTGGCTCGTGTCTTGTGTCGGCGTTAAAATTGTTGTTGTATTTGATTATGTTTTTTTTTCGAGTGCGTGTCGAAATCAATGAAGAAGAAACACAGAAACAAAGTGAAAAATAAGCAAAAGCCATGAAAGAAAGCTAAACACAAAAGAGAAAATAAATAACTAGAAAAATATATATAAATTTATTGTGCAAAAAACCAAAAACAAAAAAAAAACAATTTTTTTTTTCGCTCTGTCTTCGATTTAAAATTACGGCTTTTTTTCCAAGTGGCGCAAGGAGTGAAAGCGAGAGAAAGAGAGCGTGTGTGTGTGTGTAAGAGCGTGATTGTGTCTGTGTGTGCTGTGCGTGCGCACTTCTTTCAGATGAAACCAGCGAGTGTGAGAGAGTGAGAGAAAGAGAGACAGAGAGTGACTAAATGTGGGCTGTGCTGGCGACGCTTAATTCTAGGCGAACTAACTGCAGCTGTTTTTCCATGAGTTTCCACGAACTCCGATTGACTGCCAAGTGCAAATAGTTTTTCGTCCGAATGGGTTTTTTGCCCAACTGTAAACAGACATACCTGCCAGATGTACAAGAGTGAGAGAGAGACAGAGAGAGAGAGAGGGAGAAAGAGAGAGTATATATAGAGCATAAGTAAATCGACTCGACTCAGTTGTCTTCAGTTGAGCCAGGGCCCACGCAGTATGATGTGCAGTTAGTCGAGAGCAGCGAGTGTAGACAATAACGAGTGGCGAGAGGTCTCCAGAGTTGAGAGTTGAGTGTAGACTCTCTCTTCCTCTCCATCTCTCCCTCTCTCCCTCTCTCTCTCTCACTCATGCTTGCTCTCTCATATATGCCACGAGTTTCTACTACGTTCTACAATAAAATACTACTACGCACACACACACACACACTCACTCACTCACATTCACACACACACACACACATACACGCACACTACTATTCCGCTGCATAGTTTTTTGTTTTTTTTTTTCGAGCAACATCAACAATAAAAAGCTTTGATCGTTGATTGCGCTTGCCTTTCTCTGCGCTTCTCAACTGCTACTATCACTCCTAACGCCATTTGCTCTACATTCTGCTCTCTCCCTTTTTTTTTTTGATTGTTTTCATACTCGTGCAGTTGCAGTTGCAGTTGCAGCCAACAGTGGTCATACAGTGGACACAAAGTGTTAACGAAACACACAAAGAAACTGAAAGCAAAAACAACTAGAACAACAAATATATATATATACATATATAAACAAAAACTAAAGCAACCAAAACAAAAGCAACAAAAAATTGAAATAACAATGTGCGCCTCGCAGCGTCGTAATTTGTTGCTGCGTAGCCTTTGGGCAGCCGTCGTGCTCGTTGGCACTGTGCAGGTGAGTCATGCAATACCAAAATCCTAGCACACACACTCACATACACTTACACTGACACACACGCACACGTACACAGAGACAAAGTCGAGCTGCTCTAAGCGAGCCGCAAAATATGCCAGCGAAAAAGAGACTCAGCTCTCGCCGCTTGTCCTTACACAAACACACGCACACAATCAGAAACACGCACACACACACACACACACACACACGCACAGCTTAACGCGAGTGTGCGCAAATATTGGCTTAATTGAACGGTTTTTCTTTCACCCATTCTATTCGTTTGTCTTTTTTTTTTATTTTATATATATTTTTTTTTTGGGTTCTTTTTTTTGTTTTTGTTTTGGATAGCCAACCGCCAGCCGCCACCCTGGCAACACTTACACAACACGCAATTCGAGCAATTTGCATATGAAAGTCGCACCTGCTGGTCAGCAGGTGTGCACTAACAACTCATTAACTAATGATGACTATTGCGAAAAAGGAAAAAAAAAACAACAACAAAATGTGTAAAAGCAGAAAAGTACTTGAAGCCACGCAACGCTGATTGCTCGCTCACGCATTGTTATCAGCCGCAATTAACAGCAACAGCAACAGCAACAACAACAAGCGTAATTCCTTAGCCAGGGTTGTCATGGCATACAAGCGGCTTAAACACACACACACACACACATATATATTGGTAGCTGCTTTGAGCTGAGATTTTAAGCTGGTTCTGCTTTCTGTGAGCTTCGAGCTTCGAGCTTCGAGCTGCTCAATCGGCTCATCGATTGCTTGGCTTAAGCACATTGCCTATTCAAATGCATTTAAAAGCCATTTCTTCTGCTTCTCTTCTTCTACATCTACTTATCCTGTCTGCCTGCTGTTGCTGCTGCTTCTTCTCCTTCTTCTTCTTCCTCTTCTTCTTGTTGCTGTCGGCTAAAAGCCTCAAAACAATTTGCGCAAAAAATGATATAATAGAACGTGGAGATGCGCTGAAACAAAAACTAAAAACCTATCAAATTTAACACACACACACACACACACACACACACTAACACATAGTTAGAGCTATAATACGAGCGGGAGGGCTGCAGCGAGAGTGCTAGTTTTTAAGGGCTGCCAACACACTAAGCTGATTTATAAGTTGGCCAGCTGCTGCAACCGTTTCAGGTTCTCTAACCACCCCCGCTCACCGAGCCAGCCAACCACCGCAACACCCCACCACCCCTCCGCCCAGCCACCCACACTGGCTACCTTGTTTTGTGTGCTGCTTGCAATTTGTTTTGCCTTGCAATGTTCGCCTAGCTGAATATCCTTTGCTGTGCCCCTGTGTGTGTGTGTGTGTGTGTGTGTGTGTGACTGTGTGTCTGTGTCTATGTTGCCTGATACCTTAATGCCGCTATTCATGCTGGTCTTTGTTGCCAGCAATTTATGAGTAGTGACCCAGGGCAGAGGCCTCTAGCTGTCACTGCTGCCCGACCATTTGCAGGCCCTGTATCCATCCATGTTCACACCGACCCCTACACACCCCCACACCCACTCCCTGCCGGCTGCACCGCAGCAACTCCCACACGTCGCTCGTCAGCGAGCCGTCAACATTTGCCGTGCGCGTTATCAGAGGCAACGCATCGCCTGGCTCTTTTTTTTTTTTTTTTTTTTTTTTTTTTGTGGTTGTTGTCGGTGGTTGCTTACGTACAAGTTGCATTGCGAGTGGTTGGCTTCACGTATTTTCCAGTTGTTTTCAGTTTACTATTTTTTTTTTGTTTTTTTTTCTTGCTTTTGAGTCCTTTTGTATTTTGTATATATATATTGCTTGAAAGGACTCGTCGCACGCGCTTCTCTGACTCATGCGAGGCGCAGTGTGCAATATGTCCAGGCCCAAAGAACCGTCCGAGTCTATCGACTGCCTGAAGCCCGCTGCTCGCACAACCCATACAAAGTCCTCGCCGTCTATATTCAAGTACTTTCAGCTCAGTCATGGCAGGCAGGGGGTGGGGGTGGGGGTTGGTGGTTGTGGGGTGTGGGGTGTTCTGCTGTTGGCCATTTGATTGTCGGTACAAAACTGTCGGCTGTCAATTCGTGGAACGCACAGCTCTTAGCTGGCTGCCAGGCCCGTTGGCCATGTTAACTGCAATCCAACTAAACTCGTTCCAGCTGGCCTCAACTCGCAATTGTTTTAATGCGCATTATGAATCGTATGGCTTGAAACTAGCTGCCGTTGCTTGCTAACCACATAAAGTTCTTAATTGCTGCATCGCCATGAGTTTTGCACCACTTTGCACCACTCACGAGCCGTGGACCGAGGCTCACTTAGTTGGCTTACATTTAATTCACACACACTTTGAATCATCCGCTGATTATATAACATATGAATTCTGGCATGAAGCCGCTTCGTAATTCCCTCATGACTCACTCACTCCTTTGAGCAATAGCTTTGACTAAGTCCCTTGCTCTTGCTTTGGTAACATTCCCCAGCATCAAATTGATTTCGTTGTTGCAAAGCTTTATGATTCCATCACATGAATTACTCATCTTTTATTTGATAATTTTGCATCTGAATCAGATAGGAGCTGACTCGATAGGCTTTACTGTACATGATCAACATGACAGAGCTGGCCTTCATACACCTGCGGTAAAAACAAATAGAAGTGGTACTTGTAGTACTGTTAGAAAATCATAGCAACAAATTCAATATTTGGAAAAATAGTTCGAAATGTATTTTAAGATTAATATAGACTTAATATATACTTCATTAATATATATACTTCAAGTCTCGATAATTTGTACCCCACTTTGATTTAGCGCAATAAATCGAAAAAATTCGATCCTCTTGAAAAAAAAAAAATCGATCTCGATAATTCTCGATAAGTTGAATTTCTGTGTAATTAAAAAAACTGATCCACTTATTATTCCGACGGAAATCGGCTGTATTGTGATTTTAGATGCCAATATTACTTTACATCAATTGCAACGAATTGCTAAAATGAATTTCCTTAAATTTGATTTACGGTACTCCGAGATTGAAGAGAGCCTGAACAAGTTGGTTGTTATTTTCATATGTGGGCTAATCAACAAAAACTAGTTATATATTTAATACCTCCTCCAGGTTCGTCTTCCCCATCCACATGTTATGCTGTTAACAGAACTCTGTTAAGAGTTTAACTCAAGTTCTGCCAAATTAATAACAGTACATGTTAGTGTTAATATTCATTTTAAACTATTTTCCAAGTATATTTTCAAAATATTAGTATCAAGTTTTATTTGTTGGCAGCGATATATGTATATATGTATGTATATCGTCTACTGCCCATCAGTCATATGAATTTGGTGCCGCTTTTCCACTAGCTTCTGGAAAATTCAGATTGTTAGTTGTCATGAAAGTCGCACTTCATTCTCAGTGGCTCTTCTTCACAATAACTAGCAGAGTTGTTGGATGAATTTTACTGTTGAGAATCCCCATTTGCTTATATGATATATAATATAACCTCATGATTAAGTTGTATAGCACTTGCCCCAGTTGAGTCTCTGAAATTTATGTTGCTTTAATGCAGTATTGATCAAAATGTTATTAAAGGCCAATCAAAGGCTAACTTTGATACCATCTCAGGCACATGAATTCTCAAAACTTTCTCAATAGCTGTGCATGACTTCTGCTCTACCTAGACTTGATAGATTTTGTAATCACTAGTAATTCGTATACTCAGCTCAGAGCATGTTATTAAAGAAATACTAGAAATATGAGTACATTGAGCACATTGAGTATGCTGAGTATATTGAGTACATTGAGTATGTTGAGTATGTTGAGTATGTTCAGCACTTTGATTGCAATAAGTACATTGAGCATATTGAATATATTGAGTATAGTGAGTATATTGAGTACATTGACTACATTGAGTGTAATGCGTACATTGAGTATATTAAGCTCGTAAAATCAATGAATTTCCCACCGCTCAAGCATTAGTTATGCCTGTAACGCTGGTTGTTAAGCAGCTTTGCTTTAAGTGATGTTGACCACATATGAATACACACATACACGCACACATATCATCTATATATAGATGTGGCATATAAAGCATTTGCTGCCTGGCCACCGCTAATGATGAGCAAAAGTGCACAATTTGAGCTGTTCGGACATATCGAATGGAGAACCATTTACCAACGATTTAAAAAACACAGAGGGAGAGAGAGAGAGGGGGAGAGGGGGGGGGAAAAAAAGAAAGAAATAAACTGGGCAGCAGTTAATGCGTGGTTTGCCTTCAACTAGTTGTTGTTGTTGTTGTTGCTGCTGTTGCTATCAATATCGACTGGCTCCTGCTGCTGCTGCTGTTGCTGCTCCTGCTGCTCCTGCTCGCTGGCCGTGCTCCTTTGCGTTTGCATTTAATCATGGCTGGCCGGACGCTCGCATTTATTGCATGCACTTAGTCACTGGCACAGCACTTGCAGCTCATCTGGCCAACACCCCTCTCCACCTCCTTCTGGCTACCCACCCCCTGCTAGTTGTGGTAGTGGTGGTGGTGGTGCCTGTTAGCATTTATCAGGCTTGGCAATGCCAAACAACTTGGTCAGCAGCGTTGTCGTTTGCTGCCTCACTGACGATTGTCCTCGTCCACATTGACATCCACTTTGCTGTTGTTGTTGTTGTTGTTGTTGTTGTTGTTGTTGTTGTTGTTGTTGTTGTTGTTGCTGTTGTCGTCTTTTGCTGTTCGTGCACATTCATAAAATGTGGTGTCACAGTCCATGCACACCACCCATACACCACCCACTAGCCCACAGACAAACAGGCAGGCAGACAGACAGACTGCCCCGCACACACACACACACACACACTCGCACATATGTGAGTGTGCACTGACCCCACTTCCTTTCTATTTGCAGTGCCAGTGCCAGTGCCTGAAATCCTTTTGCCTTTTCTTTTCGCCTTTGCCTGCCCTGGCTTTAGCCTTTGCTTTGGCTATGTCCTTCAGCCACAATTCGAATTCTTAACTCGCCTCAACTCGACGCGACTCGACGCGACGCGACTC